CACCCGTACGAGTCTCACTGACGCACAGTGATGTCAGGAACGGCTTCCAAGTAAGCTTCCTCCCCGAGAGGAACGTGCTCTGGCTGCTGTGTTTTGCCGGTGTGCCCTAAAATTCCATTCAGACTACATAATATCCTTCATTATCATTTCTGCCCCCTGGTTCATTTTCCATTTAATATCAGCGCCTGTAGCAGTGAAACTGAATTAATGCCCTCTAATGGTATAAAATCCCACAATTATCCAAGGACCTTTTGAAGTGATTTAGAGAGTCTTCGGGAGCGGAGGGTTGGTTTAAAGAGCAGTAGGGGATTGCAGGGACTCCGCTGGCTATGGATTCTTACCAGTTTCAGAAATAACCCACGGTGACTCACTGCGCTAAACCGTCAATCTTCTCCGTATGTGACCGTGGAAGAACTTCTCGTTATTGAAAAGAACTTGACTTGTTATTGTAGCCAATTCAGCGCAACCCTTTCCAACCTACGCAGATCTCACTTTACATCACAGGCCCGATTACAGAGAAAAACGTCATTGTGACTTAAATGACATGTCATGACAATCAGCAAGGACTTTTCATGTTTTGTTTTCTTCCACCGCACCCATTGTGTGACTGTCAGCAAAGCAAAACGAATCATTTCCCCTTTGTATTGAAAGTATTCGTATTCGTCAGACTTCTCGTTTTAGTCATTGGACTATAATCTATCATTTTTAATAACACCGTCTGTCTGTTTAGCAAAATGTCATCAAATCCCAGGGACGTTGCTGTTTCATGGCTCTTAGTTCTCAGTTGTTGTTCATTTAATTATCAACTTTGTCTCAGATGTCTCATCTAAAATTCAACAGGAGAAATAAACAGACATACGTGAGTCAATGACATAAAAGCAGCTCAGATCATTTGTTGAGAAATGTTTGAGTTCATATTGAGATTTCTGGCTTTTGATAGCACACTTTGAGATACTTTTTGAAACCCAGAGGAGAAATATGTGAGATTACTGTTTGTTTTTCACATCAGGAGAGACATTTGAGAAGCAGGAGACTTTAAAGTCAACATAAAATGGATTTGATTTAATTTAACAGTTTTTTTTATTAAATGTTGCTTTTATAATCTTTCAGCATAACTTTTCTTTTGGCTTACTTCACTTATGCTTATTATGACTTTCTTATTTATTTTTCAACCACCTGACATATAAAGACAATTTATACCATCCAATTAATTGTCAATCAGTGTTGTTTTAATGTTTTATATATATACTATTATAGTATTTATTAATATTTTGAATTTTCAGTTTTCATTTAACATTTTTAATTTTTTTATTTTTGCTGTTTAACTTTTTAAATATGTCTTTTTAAAAATTAAGTTTAAGGGTAGCAGTTAGGGATGTAACGATTAACCGCGAGCCGGTCGAAAATCGATTTAAATATGTGACGATTCAAATCGGTTGAGATGCCAAACAAATCACGATACAATTGGAGTAGGAGTTTTTATGAGTGCATCTCTGAGGGGAACTGACTATCTTTAGAAAAGTTTACGTGGTGGTATTTTCTTTTCATCTTGCCTCTGAACGATGCATATTAAAGTAGTGTTCATAAGCGCAGCGCTGCTTTGTTTACAGCGGTAACCCAGAAAACACTGGGGTTCCATGAGTGCCACCTGCTGTCAGAAAGTGAATCTGCGTCTCATTCAGCTCGTCTGCTCTTTCGTTCAGATATGTTTTATGTAGTATAGTTTCACAAAACTAAAGTCAGACCATTCTGTTTTTGCTTCAAATTTCGAAATTATACAGTCTAATTTAGATTAAAAACTCATGCTGCATGTATGCTGCATCTTTATTTGGATCATGATTAAAATGCAGTGGTTGCCTCTAATTTTAAATGGAAAGAGCACAGACAAAGCCTTAGTTTGTTCATATTAAGAGATTTCTTTTATTTGTGTGTAACTTACTTGTTTGATTTGGGGTTTGTTTTAAAATTTAAATTTAGTTTTGTTATATTTCAATTTCACAAAGAAACGTGCAGCAATAGCCTAATAAAA